TTTTTTTTTTTTTTTTTTTTTTTTTGTTAATCATTTTATACCCTGTGAATTTAGTTTATATCAAGTTTTGTCGCCTCTTTTCATCTCTTTCTCTTCTTAAAATGGATTAGGAAAGACTTCAAGTGTACTAATTAATGTTTCTTGATGTACCGCTGGTCAATCTTTAATTGTTACAGCAGGCTGCGAAAGGAAATTTTTTTTAAAACTTATTTCTTACTTGAGTAACTTTTCCTTGTTGTTTGCGAATAATGTAATTCCGAAACCAGTGCCTTTTCCTATTACTTTATCTTTTTTTTTTTCTTTTTTGAATAATTCAGCGCCAATAAAAATGCTGTGATTCGACAGGATTTCAAAACAGCGTAGTTGTTGGTCTGCAAACATTAGTGTAAGATCAACGTCGGGGAGAAGAAGATGCTTGTTATTGATTGGTGACTTGTATGTGATGCAGTTTTTTTCGTTTTTCACCACTTTTCAATCCCGATATTTTCTTTTGCTGCTGTGTAAATTAAGTTAAACTTACATCAGTTATGGCTGTTGGATGGTTCATGAGTAGCTACGTAAGATGCCCTGTTGTGCACTGGTCCAATTCATGTTTTTTTTACCGGTCGCTTGCAACATCTTAAATTTCTTAGGCTTTTCTGCTTGAGTTGTTACCAACTGTTGTTCATTCGTGGTGTAATGCGGACTCTAGCATTACATTTATTTTTTTTTTTTGTTACTTGATGGTTTGACTTTAGCATAGTACATGTTATAGCTATGAGTAATCTGTTGGTTTTGTTTGCTTGTCTTCTTCACTGAAGTTAAAAAGGAGCAATTTGAAATGTGGTTTTTTAAAAGCATTTTATTTCAAACAATTTATATAAAGTTATGCAAAAAAGTTTTTTTTTAAGAATAAGTTTGTAAAAAAACCTCGCCAGAAATGAGACATAATGCCAACTTTTTCGCACTTCATTATATATTTTCCAGCTAAACATTTGGTTCAAATACTGTTCTGTGCATTGTACTGTGATGTAATGAAAGACTTCTGAAGACTGGTAGAAGGAAAAAAAAAGGCAGAGTTGACGATGAAGCTACAAACGGCTGGACTGGATTAGGAGAGACTAGCTCTGATATCGTAATTGCTAAGAGCTTTTTTTGCAACAAATATTTGTCGTTTACTGAAGTGTTTGCAGGTCAATTGTTGTTAGACGTAGATCTTCACAAAGATTCACAACTTTTATTGCAGCTAAACAAGGTAATTAATGGTCAAAATAAAAAAAAAGATGCTTGTTTATGCTTCATGTACCATTTTATTTTTTTTACTTAGTTGCAATCAGCAAATTACAAAATTATCAGTAACATTTGTACACCAAAATGCCAATAATCAGCAGTAGTTACGGGTACTTTTACAGACTGTTCTAATTAACGCCAGGTAAGACTGTATGCTGCAGTAAGATTTTTGTTCTGCGCAGTTTGATACTTCTTCTTTTTGTTGACTATTAACTTTAGTACCATTCGTACTGTTCTGGGTTATTTTCAGTGAATTCACAGTGGTTGTACCTGGTTCCTTTGTTTTGTCTTCCTATTTAACTCAAAATACCGATGCTAGTTTGATTTAGTAGATCATAGT